ATGGTCATAACTCCACCTGAGACAAAACCACGGGCATTATATAATAATAAACAGAACATGTATATATTACTATGATAAACCATATGTTCCCTTGGTTGCGGGTGACATATATCGATATACTTTGATTAGTGACGTTTAAACTACGATTTATAGTCACGATCTAAATATCGGTCTTGTTATTACAGTCTTTATCCCCTAATAACCTGTCTTCAAATTTTTCAGCCCAATGTAGAGATTTTTTTGTTTATTGACGCGCTTTACAAGGTTTTTAACTGCCATAAAACACTCTACGTTGCGTTGTACTTTTTATATTGACAAAAAAAATGACGTCACCAATTGTGTTATATTATCTGTTTGCGACACAATATTTCAAAGCTGATGACTGGTTCAAGACATCGTACATACGGTCACGTTACTGTAACCAATTTCTGAAGATCTTTGGGGTAGTTAGTTAGATCTATGGTTGGTGACACATTATCTAAAACTAATACTAATTTGGAGTTTTAACATTCGGGTTACGCGACGCATTTCTGTTATTACTATCTTTTTTTTTTCTTGAACAAACAATGTCTGAGCAACCCAATAATGCGGAAATACGAAACACTGCTGTAACCGAAGGCTTATTCGAACATTTCAATTATACACCCATATCGTTTATAGATGATGTAATAAATACAATAAACGAACTGATTTATCAGGCAGCTGACGCATTGAGCGAATTTGTCAAGGATGAATCGAGCGAATTGTCTATTCCTTGCGAGGATGTCGAGCAAGTATGAAATGGGATTTCCAACATTCGCATTATGTGTAGAATAGTGTTAGGGACAGGTTGTTCTTCAGCGACTGTTGATTGCGTTTCTGGAGAAACCTATTCATAATGACCAACACACGCTTTGAAACATGGTTACTGTCACTAGGGCCTCCATCAATTCGAAACACTTCTTGAAGCAGCGGTAGACCATAATTTTGATTTGTTTGAAGTGTATTCTTTACGAAACCTGTTCAACGTTCCGGCCGATGTTCCATTAGTATTATCCCATCATCAAGTAAGAATAGATATAATATCTAATGTTGCAAATATAACACATGCGATTGCGTCTAGAAGCGTTTAACATGGTTTACTCATATCAAAGGGTATAAATTTAAATGTAACTAAAAGTGATGAAGTACAACTGGATAGAGAATTAGAAAATATACGGAAAAATATATTGGCGGTAAGTCAACTTGAAGGATAGCCAGAAAAGGACGAATATCCATCAGAGATTCTCATCTTTACAATTATTGTGTAAGGCCAAAGCAATGAACATCAAATTGAGAAGAGAAACAGCAAAGACAGACATTCGCATACGCAAATATGAAAAGTATAAAAACGACTTTTACTATCTCTCGTCACTTGGGAAAGATAATAATGGTATGTATCGTTCGATTCTTGTTTGAGATCTGCTTGAAATTATCTCTGCACACATCGTTTTACTTGGTATAATTTTTCTTTTCAGTCTTATCACTTCCCGAAGCTCTGCGCGTGCTCCAGAACCACTTGCAAACGATCAAAAACATATATAGTCCGCTCGAAACAAAGTACCCACTTTCTTCTCTTCCTGCTCTTCCGCCGTCTGCATCATTTGACTCCCGCATGGAATACTTGAGTTTTATTGCTCAGAAACAGACTGAGAACATAGAGACGGGAGAACGCGCAAAGCGAGAATATGAGGAGAACGATGATGAAGAAGTTGGTCATTGGTACAAGATTTTGGTTCCAATGTTGGAAGAGGAGAGTATTGAATGTAAATAAAGCTATATTATTTTGATTACCATATGAACTTTTTGGAAATAAATCAATTTAAAATGGGACAAAAGAAATTAAATTCCAAGTCTTTTTTTTTTTTAAAAATAAAACTTGCAGCATTATTGAATATGATTTTCCTGTATTTATTTCTTTGATTACCCTCTTTACTTAGCAGCAAATATCTATTATCGTTATAAATACTTGCAGGATGCCTACACAACAGAATTACGGACGTGCAAACTCATGATAACATAAATATATAAACTAACCTTTAGAGATCCAGTTCCCTAAAAGAATATCAAGTCAATACTATTGTAAGACCGTGACATCAACAGTTATTAAGAATACTTACACTGTAAACCCGCGTGTAGCATTGAAAGACCTACTAATATATCTGTCACGTTGGTAAGTTGCGACATATTCTGAATTATCGATTTCCGATCTCAACGAGTCTGCCGTCTCGAATTGCTCAAAAATCATGTCGTTGAACGTGGGTAGAACCTTGTCATTCATTTCCATTAATGTGAGTAACTCGTTGTGTACTTCTTCCGATGTGGGCCTATCTTCGGGTTTAGCAGCCCAACAGCGCGTCATCAAATCAACGTAGCAATCCGGCGTGCCTTCCACAGGCGTGGGTCTCAAACCAGAAATAATGCTCCTAAGCAAGGCAAAATCAGGATCGTATTCATGAAAGGGTTGTTTTCCTGAAGAAAATTCCCACATGACCATGCCAAAGGCGTATATGTCGGATGCTGCTGACTTTGGTTGACCTTTGAGTACTTCTGGTGCCATATATTGTATCACTCCAACAATTTTATCATCATTGTCATTAGAAGGACCAGACAAGCCGAAATCAGAAATGCACAATTCGTAATTCTGAAACTCGTCACGAGTCCACAATATATTTCCGCAGTGAAAATCTTTGTGGACAAAACCTGCTTTATGGATATTTTGTAAATCCCTCATCACTGATGCCAGTTGCTCCAATCTGTCACTCCACCCGAGATCTGGTTTTTCCATCAACAGTCGTCTAAGGTCACCTCCTGACATGTACCGCATGACCAGTATGATCTGATCAGTTTCGGGATTTACTGAAAATCCGAACAATTGATTGTCACTTAAAAATCTGTATTCACATTTTAGGTAGGCCGAGGCCTGTTTTGAAAGAAATAATTTCAATCGACGACGCATAACATTTAATCTTCTCTCCCCTTTATTAATTTACCTCTTTTAAAAATTCCGTCGAAAGCCTTGTAGGTGTCTTCTCTTCTTTTAGTGCAACTTCCATAGGCCCTCCACGCCTATAATATCGTACAGAACTGTTATTGCTCTCTGGTTTACATTCCCAGCGTCCTTGTCTCCAAGTAGCTTTATAGACTTTAGCAAATCCTCCCTCGGCTTTGAACTCCAAGTCTGTAAAATATTCGAATGGAATCCATTCCAACATATGCTGAACAGATTCGGCTTCTTGTTGTGATTTCAAAATGAACTCATCGATGTGGGGTCTCCCACTTGTCCAGGTTGATGCTGCTTGCTTAACAACTTCCTGGAAACAGTGTGTGCAAGTAATACGTATGGAAGCCAACTCAGCCCCACACTGAGAGCAATGATGGCGCCTTTCTTCAGTTATAATTTTAAAGTCAATATTCGGAATCATCAGGGAAAATGGATGTGGAGATGATGATGTCGAGGAAAAGCGGAATCAGAATGTCACACCAATTGTAGGTAGTGAAACCCTGTAGACTTGGCAGCGGAGTACTCTCTTTGCAGAGCTGTATCTTCCGATTACTTTCCTTGACAGACACATCTGAATGAATCTATAATAGAGTCTGAAGTTCAAGGTTAAAGCTAATAGTAAGATTACTTATGATAATTAGATTAAGTATGCTCAATTGTTAGAGCAAATTATTTCACCTGTCTATTTCTAGTGCTGTCATTCTTATGAAAGTCTCACTAAGAGATAAGCTCAAACAAGTTTTTGTCTAAAGAATCGACTTTATATTATTCGAGAAGCGAATCACCGAAATGATTTGATCAAGAAAAAACCTCGAACTCAGAATCCATCGACGAATAGGTAACCTCGAATTTGACATCAATAACACAGTATTGCCGTTAAACAAAATTAATTCACGCCAACTGTGCACTTTTTATTTCTGGTGCAATGCAATGTAACTCCAGATACAATATGGAGCTAGGTAAAAAGTTTTCTTACGAGCTTAACGATATTAATATGATAGAAGTAAAATATTGTTAAATCACGCGTCCATGTTGGAATTTTCAACATTTTGGATCGTTTGAGTAACATCTACATAACATTTGGTAAATATTTTTAACTGGTATAAAAAGCATTATTATAATTAGGTATGACAATTACAGTCGACTGCCCGCTGATTTGTTTGCGGTTGGCTTTAACCATACTATAAGGAGATCTTGCCACGTATTTAATTAAATTCTGCACGAGTATCGATATTTTTCTGGTGTAACCAGTTTGGCTGTCTAAGACTCCCACGGTAATTGAACGAGCTTTATCTGGTGGTGCCAATTTAAATTGTAAGGACATTACATGCTATGGTTAAAAATTCCGTCGTCGCATGACAATAAAGGACGTCGGATAACTAAATTGGGAATTTTCAAGGTTGTTACGCGCCTGGCTTTCGTATAAATTGTATGATGCTACGCAAGACATTCTAGAGTGACGTTAAGGATCAGTTTTATTATTTACATTTAATTAATAAATACTCGAGTTAGACAGTTGGCTTGTGTAACATAACAACGATAGATCACCGTATTTAACATTAATTATATCTGTATCCGTTACCATGCTGCTTCTGCAACCCACGAGGTTCCTTCGTAACTTTCTTGGCGTCAATGTCTTTAAACAACATGAATCCGGACGAAACAATATTGCCTCACAATAAAATTTTGGACATTGGAGCGAACGACATAGTTGTGAATCCTCCCAAGAATGTTTCGACTGTAGAGTTATCTTTGACTCCAACACAATCTCTCGTTCCAACTGCATTCCAAAAGTCAAGTCAGTTGTCCGCAACTGAATTGTTTACCTCTTCAAGCTTGTTCGTTGATTCCATCATGACAGACGCAACATCTGATCAGGTGTTGGCTGAGTTGGCCGTCGAACCCAAGCCCGTAGAAGTGAAAGTAGACAAATTTGTGGAAGATGATTCCCAACCTCAACGCTTTGAAGAGATATCTTTAGAAGACGACTCACATCGATCTCGAACTCCGGTATCCGACTCGGAAAGGAAGGATAAGAGAAGGCCTAAACCTTTCACGATTATAGTCAATAAGGCTTCGCCTACATCGTCTGTTCCGTCTTCTCCGTCCTCATTGACATTGAAACTTTCGAACGAAGATTTGTCGTCAGAAGGCGAGGGGGATGCTCATGAACATCAGTTAAATAGACAATCTTCTGGCCCTTTCTATTGTGTTCCCATAACGCCAGCCGTATCCCAGAAGAACCTTGCTGATACTGTCAAGGCGCAAAGATCATCGTCCGATGACGGCATGTTGCAAATTCGCAATCAGGGGCTGCCTACTGGGACCCGCTCGAGGTCGCTGACTATGCTGGATTCTTCGCGTCCAGATCATGACCACGAAATGACGCGAACGAATAGTCATAGCAGGTTAGAATTAGTGATTATCTCTAGCTGTAAAGAATTCTTAATAGTGAGGTCGAAATGGTGTTCATTGATCACTTTCCGTCCAAATGGGAAATTAGATTTTTCTTATGGAGTACGAACAACGTTCACCCATTGGATCTTTACATATCAAAAACTAGACCAAGGTATGGTATGTAACGTGGCAATTCTTTGGAATTTGCTTTTCGATTTCTTATTCATTGTTTGTCTTTCAGAGACTTGCCACCGAAATCACCAGAAGAAGACGTAAGGATTATTTACATAACTCGTTTACGTTTGATGTCTAAGACTAGCAGCTAAATCTATTCACTTACTTTACAGAAAAAACATCTAAGAGAACACGAGATCATGATGCGTAAGGCACAACGAGCTGGTATGTTTGGTAACAGGATGTCATAGTTCAGCATTATTTTGGAAACTAATCAACCAATATTGCGATAGCGGCAAAGAAGGCCAGGAACGAACAAAGAAAGAAAGAACAGCGTGATAAACAGTATAGGGCAGAATTAAACGTGTGGGAAAATGAAATACTTTCTAATTGGCAGCTTGCGTACGTATACTTTTTAGCAATAATTTAAGTGACTATTGTATTGACCATTTTGCGGATTCGTGCAATAGACGACATGAGAAGTCAACGCGAGAACTATGGTGGAAAGGAATCCCTCCTCGATGTAGAAGTAAGGTCTGTTGATTATATAGAATATGCAGCGTCTACCTGATTTATATACTTGAGAATTATAACCGAATCGCTTATCATTATCAATACAGGTTTGGGGTCTTTGCATTGGAAATGCATTGGCTATAACGCAAGGTAGGTCATGTCTCCATTCATAAACTTAAAATCGTAAAAAGCACTGGCTAATAATTGTTACTTTTCTATACTTTTTTAGCAACATACGATATGTGTCTAGATAGGTATTGAATATCACTATTTTACTTTTGCTTTGTTCAACCACAATCAGACGCCTTTTTTCATGATTGAATTTTTGCATGTAACAGAGCGTTTGAAGTCAAAAGCGAATCAACTGATGGTTTGGGATCGCCCACTCGCGTGGATTCAGCCAATAAAATGGCAGAAATATTTGAAAACATTGAGAAGGATGTGTTAACTACGTTGCCAGCACTTGGACTTTTCCAGGTTAGTAATAAGCTAGCGAATATGTCGGGGGACTGTGAATATCCATCCAAGACAAATAGGTGACTACTGATATATTGACATCAATTCTAATTGCATTATTTTCATAGGGAGAGAATCCATTGTGTGAGAGCCTAAGGAGTGTATTAGAAGCGTACATCTTTTACTGGAAAGATCCCAAATATGTTGGTATTCTTATAATAAACATTTGCATCAATATTTTCTTGCGAATTATTGTTAATAGGCTGCCATTTTAGATATCTGGGATCAACAATATTGCCGCCATGTTTTTATTAAATATGGATGCGCTGTCATCTTTCGTTTATATGGTTAATCTTTCAAAGAGACCGTGCATTTCTGCTTTCTTTGGAGTAGGCGAAAAGGTATGTTGTTGACA